TATCAGATACTACTAAATTTTTATCAAATTTAGTAATATTTTTAAATAGGATACTATTTAAATAAAAATAAAAATTTATTTATTATAATATAAAATTAAAATTTAAAAATTAATTTATATTTATTATAATATAATAATAATATAAAAAATAAAAATAATATAAAAATTTTTTTAAAAAAATATATATTATCAGGATTTATTATTGTGAAACAGGTTAAAAACTTTAAAAAAAATATTAAAAAGTATAGAAATGTTTGTAAAAATATTTAAAATATTCTCTTTTATATATTTATGTATTTAAACTTATTTCTTCTATAAGTTTTTCACATTCTTTATCAAAGAGTATATAGTTTTCTTCCATTTTGTTTTAAATAAAATATATCTTTAAAAAAATTTTTTATTAAAAAAATTATTTTTCTCAGTAATATAGATTGATAGTTGATCATTTCATAGTATGTATAAAAAAAAATCATGTGATATCAGTTAATCAACTGTACAAGTTACAAATAAATTATACAAGTCACATATTATACAATACAAAATAGTATTTTATACAGTACAGTTTATATGTATACCTTTTTTTATTAATAATAAAATTAATAATTAATATATTTGTTCTTATTTAAAATAATAAGTTCACATCATTTCTTCATTGAATTTACTAAATTAATTAAAACATCTTGTGGAATATTTTCTCACTCCTTTATCATAAAACATTCCAATTTAACCAGATTTTTTGACATCTATTTTTCTACATTTTTTTTAACAATACTCCATAAATTTTCTATAGGATTGATATTAGAACTGTTGAATAGTCAATCAATGATTTGCAATAAATTGCTTGGCAATATGGCTGGTATACTTATAATCATTATCTTATTGAAATTGTCAATTTTTACCAAGCATATAATAAATCTCTGAAGAGTGTTTTTTAAAAATTTCAATGTAAAAGGGTCCATCCATAATCTGCTGAAAATAAAAAAAACTTGTTTTACCATAATAGCAAAACTCATCTTAAATAAAAATTTTTGATCAGTTCTTAAATATATAGCAAATTAGCTAGAAGTCCTTATACTATTGTCATATAGTGTTCCTAAATAGTTGAAAAGCTATCTCATCAGTGAACAGCATCTTTTTCCAATTATTTTTGAGTTGTTTTTGTACCCATTCCATACATTTTTCTTTATGCATACTTGTGAATAATGGTGTTGCGAGTAGTAAATTATTTTTATAACTTATATGGTTTAAATGCTTTAGAACCAGTATATAAAAAATCTCAATATTGATTTCTAATAATTTTATAACTAATGAGCATGTTAATAAGACAGAATTTCTTCATAAATATTAATCAACAGCCTTGGAGATTTCTGGTTTGATCTTTTTGAGATGACATTTCATTTTTTATGTACAACACTTCCTGATTTTTTTAATTTGGCTATGCTATAATAAATTGTTTATATCAGAATATTAGTTTGGTAGTGATTCCTGGTTCCCTTGAGGACAAACCAGTGAAATGTCTTAACAGTTCTTTTAAGGAGTTTATAGTTTTTTCCTAAAGGTAAGACTGTTGTTCAGTTGTTTTAGAAGGTACCACTGATTCAATTATTTTAGAAAGTGAATCAGATCTTTCATCCAATTTATTCCAATATATTTTAAGTTCATCATTACTTTTAGTGTTAATATTTATTCATTAATTATTTTCCAGTCTTATCAGTATTAAATATTACTCCAATTCATCAAAGTTAAATATTATTTCAATTCCAGGATTTATAATAATAGTTTGTAATAAATTTCATTAACTCAAGAATAATAATATTATATAATTATACAATCAAGTATTTAATCTTATAATATCTATTATTCCTTTGTTAATTATTATATTTTGTATTTAATAATTAATTTTATAACTTTTATTTTATATTTTCAATAATTATTGTTTTATTAATCCAATTGCAAGGTAATTTTTACAAGTTTTTATTTTGGAGTTACAAATTATAAAATTAAATTCATCAATTTCAAATAAATTACAAATTATTAAAATTCAAAATTATAAAATTGTAAATTGAAAGAGCAAGGTAAATTCAATTCTCTTTTTATACTTAATTCTAATAATCTTTATTGCTGTACTACTACTGTACCTTACTGTGTGCTACTTCTATTGGTTACTATTTCTTCATATTATTTATTAAATATATTTAATATTAATTGATAATAGGTATTAATAATTATTGTTAAATAATAATATGTGATAATAATTAATGTTATGAATTAATAATTATGTTTATATAATTAAATATCACATGAACACGTGATTTTGTACTACTATCTCATGATTAATTAGTATGTATTACTGTATATAAATATAGTTGAAATGTTAAAAATATTACTATTCATTAACTAAATTAATGTTTATTAATTATATTTTAAATACTAATACTTTTTAATGTAATTATTAACTATTTGCAGTTGTTTTTGATATTATATGCTATACTTTTTGATCATGATAATTTCATTTTGTAACAGCGGTGTATTTCATAAGCATTGTATATTTCCTTGTCTCACATATATTGAATGGAACAAGTGCATACATTTATTCTTTTCTTTATATTTCCAAGACTTATTATATAAAAAAAAACAAAAGGACCAAGTACAAGTAATACAAAAGGTAGATCAGATGAGTTATAATTTGTATTCAATTATACAAGCCAACCAACATAATTTAAGAATGTGACACTAATTTATTTGACATGATCATTGTTACCATAAGTTTTCTCCACTTTAATAATTTTTATTATTTATTATTATTTCATTTCTTCTTTGTTATTTATTTTGTTAGTATAATTATTTAGTATATTTTATTTATTAGTTATAAGTAGTATTTATTTATTAGTGTAATATGAATTATGTAAATCAATAATATAGATTGGTACAATTACTGATCTAGATTTTGACCAACTTACATCAAATAATATAAAAAGGGTGAGTTTTCTCTCCACCCCAAGGGAGATTCAATTAGCTTCAAATAAGATTCAAATAGTTCTAAAATAATGAAATTTAAAAAGTAATCTCAACTGTAATTAATTCTGTAATTGAATTAATATTTTTATAATCCTGAAGTAACTGAATTATTAATTTTCTTCATAATAAATTTATATTCTCTATATTAAAACTCTGTTACTTTTCTACTAATTCATATTCTTCAAATATAAATTCTGATCAATAACTTCTGTTATTACTTTATTAATCATTGACAAATATATTTAGCTCTTTGTCATAATTTCTTAAATTGCCCTTTAAAATTTAACTGTTAATTAATAACTTAATTCCCATGATCATAAATTCCTAAGTCCTTTGATTAGTTTTAACTTAAAATTATTCTTTTATTAATTTTAAATTATCTCCTTTAATTTGTAAACTAAAGTAACTGTTTATGAGTTGCTAGTTGTAAATTACTTTTTGGAAAACAAAATTAGCCTGAAAGGTCAACTAGTAACATTGTCAGTGCAAATACTTTTGTATATTAATTCTAAAAATTAATATAACTCCTAATTAATAATATATAATAAATTATAATAATTAATAAGAATAATAATTAACAAATAATAATAGATAATAATAAATAATAAATAATAGTTAATAATAAAATAATTATAATTGCTAAAGAATTTAAATAAATAAAAAATAAAAAACTTTTAACAGTATCAACAAAGAACGTGGATCTTTTATTTAAATTATAATCATTGTTATCTATTTTTTTTTTAAACCCAACGGAGTGATCATAGTAAACTTCTAATATTAATTAGAAAGTGATTAAATTACATAAATAAAAAAATCCTATAAACTATTAATCCAATCAAATTAGAATTCAGTAATTAACCGCAAAAAATATTTCGCAATGTAATTTTATACTATTTGTTCACGATATCTTTCTGCTTTTACCCTTTTAAATCGAATCTGCGGCAAAAAAAAACCGATTAAATATATTAAAAAATATTAAATATAAATATAGATTTCAATATGGCTAAGAAAAATATCCTCTTAAAATGATCGGCTGTATATGCATAGTATATTTTAATGGGAATTAGTATTACGAATTTTAGTATATAATATGATGAGATTTATGGTAAAATTATCTTAATGCGTTGTAATTATACTATTTAATTTTATTTTATTTAAGACGCGTTTATAATGAAATTTAGGATTATTGATTTAAGGTTTAGGGTCAAGGATTGGTTAAGGTTAGGGTTGGTTACGTTAGGATTACTTATTACTATACTTTAATTTTCGATAATAATCGAACTAAGTGATTTTCTATACATACTTACTAAATTACACAAATCGTACTATACTTATCGCTATATTACCATTTAATGGGGGTTTACGAATTTTAGTATAGTACGATGAGGTAATACGGAAAGGTGGAGTCCTGTGTTATGTACGAGGCCTAAAATAGGAGTTGAGTATTACGAGGTAATACGATTGGAATAGTCGTACTATTTGATTGATAATCGTACCAAGTGATTTCTATACATGCTTACTAAATTGCACAATCGTACTATATTGCCTATATTACCATTTTAATCTTTAGTGATTTTAATATACTTAAGTGATCAAGAATTGATTAAGATTAAAATTGTTTTTGAAAACAAACGATTTTGTAAAATAATTTAATTAATTAAGTTTTATATAAATAATAGTCATTTTTTATAAATATAGAATTATTTTTGAAACTAAGAATGCACTTCCTTGAAAATATTTTGTTTATTAAGATAATTATGGAATTTATGGAAATTTACTTACTTGATATATCATCATTTGAAAAATTTGTCATGCATGGCAAATTTTTATTTGAGGCAAATAAAATTCCAAATTTATCTTTTTTGGTAAAGATCGTGTTAATTAAATTTTATGCCCATATTGATTATAATATTCATTTGATATAAAAATGAAAGATTAATTATTTAAAATATTTTACCTTCTTTTTTTACCAAGAAAAAAAAATGAGTTCCAACGAAGCAACTATCACTTTACCAAATAATAAGACCATTAAAAGTAAATTATTATATTACTATAATATAATAAGTTATTTATTTGAATTATCTTTGATTAAATTATAAATAATTATAATTTCTCTTATAGTTCCCACCGGTCTATTTATAAATAACGAATTTGTCGACTCGGTTAATGGGAAACGTTTTAAGACCATTAATCCCGTTACTGAAAAAGAAATTACCACGGTAGCTGAAGCATCGGAAAAAGATGTAGATTTAGCAGTAGATGCTGCCGAAAAAGCATTTAATGATGTTTGGCGACATGTTACTGGAGATCAAAGATCTAAATTTCTTAATAAATTAGCAGATTTGATAGAACGTGATTCTGATGAATTGGCTGCTTTAGAATCTTTGGATAATGGTAAAACTTACAAAAACGCTAAGGGACTTGATGTTCCGGAATCAATTAAGTGTTATAGATATTATGCTGGATGGTGTGATAAGATTCATGGAAAGGTAATCTATCTTGTCTTATTATACATATCTTCTTTACCGACTCTATTTCTCTATCTCTTTTTTATCATTCTCTAACTTCTCTAATGGGGGATATTATTATTATTATAGACTTTTGAATCGCAAAAAAATTTCAGTTACACTCGACATGAACCTATTGGTGTGTGTGCTGCAATCATTCCATGGAATTTTCCTCTAATGATGCAAGCCTGGAAATTAGCTCCAGCTTTAGCATGCGGTAATTTATATCTACTGTTATTCTTTTTTTTTTTTTTTTTTCTGAATTTTTTAATTTATTCATTTTTTTTTTAAAAAAAATTTTTTTACAGGTAACACAATTGTGTTTAAATCTTCTGAATATACGCCCTTGACTGCATTAAAAATTGCTGCTTTGATTAAAGAAGCTGGATTTCCGAAAGGTGTTGTTAATATTTTGAATGGATATGGTAAACCTACTGGAAGTGCTATGGGTAATTGCCACTTATTTCTATTTTATTTCCACTTGCATCTAAGAGAGATACATATACACATCTTTATATTGATTTATATTCAATTTAATAAATTTAATAAAATTTAGCATATCATATGAAGATTGATAAAATTGCCTTTACTGGTAATTTATTTATTTATTTACAGTATTGATCCTTAATATAAATCTATTCTTATATTTATTCACATATATATATATATTTATTTACTAAATCTTTGTTAAAGGTTCCACTGTGGTAGGAAAATATCTCTTAAAAGCATCATCTGAAAGTAATTTGAAGAAATTAACTTTGGAATTAGGAGGAAAATCTCCCAATATCATATTCGCCGATGCAGATCTTGAAGGAGCAGTTAAATGGGCTCACATGGGGATTTACTTTAATAATGGTCAATGTTGTACGGCCGGTTCAAGAATTTATGTCGAAAATTCTGTATATAATGAATTTATTAATAAATTTAAAGAATATACGAAAAATATGAAAATTGGCGATCCATTCGAAAGTGATACTGATCAAGGACCAATTGTTTCTAAGAACCAATTTGATAGGTATAAGTTCGATTCTTTAAATTTAAAGATTTCTTTCACAACGACGTCGTCAACTAAAAAAAAAAAATTATTATTAATTTAATAATTCTATAATATCTTTCAATAAAAGGGTCATGAGTTACATCGAAACTGGAAAAAAGGAAGGTGCTACTTGTTTGATGGGAGGTGATAGACAAGGAAAAGAGGGATATTTTATTAAACCAACTATTTTTACTGATGTGGTAAATTTTAATATAATTTAATTTGATATTTTACTTTATTTTAACAACAACGACAACAACAACAACAACAACAATAATAATAATAATTATTATTTTATATCCACATTTGATATTTAAAGAATGAAGGAATGACAATAATGCAAGAAGAAATTTTCGGTCCCGTGGTGGCAATTTCAAAGTTTAATGCGATTGAAGAAGTTATTGAAAAAGCTCATAAGACTGACTTTGGTTTGGCTGCTGCCGTATTCACAAAAGATATTTCACGTGCTATCAAGATTTCTAACGAGTTGAAAGCTGGAACTGTTTGGGGTATTTTTTTTTTTTTGAATTGATATTTATTTTTTTTTAGATTTATCATATTTATTATAACTCATATAATTAATTGTTTATTAATTTTTATTTTTTAGTTAACCTTTATAATATACTCAACCCTTATTCGTAAGTACTTTGTATCTCTTTTATATTTCAATATTATTTCACCTGATACTTACTTATTAATTATTTTACAATTAGTCCATTTGGTGGATATAAACAATCTGGAATTGGTCGTGAACTTGGAAAGTATGCATTGAAAGAGTATACTCAAGTAAAGACCGTTCAAATTAATTTGGACATGTAATAGTTGATTCATAACTGATGTAATTGCTGTATAATAAAAAAATTTGTATGGTACTTCTTGACATGCCGTACAAAAATGATCTCATAAACCAAAAAGAATTGAGAGCTGAAAATTTTTTATAACACCTTTCCACATAGTGATTGAGAGATTCATCTTTTTTTATTATATGCTTTTATTTGATACTCAAAGTGCACATACATATAAATTATAGTAGTTACTAACAAAAATACTTTTTTTTACTGAGCTAAGTTTAGCAACACGTATCATAAAAAGATCTGTTATTCAGTATTTTATTATGTTTTATATCAAAAATTATCCATCATCTAACTATTAAATATTTAATAAATATTTAATAGTAATGACGTGTGTTGATACAATGACGACTCATAAATCAAAAAAAAAAAAAAACTTCTCAATCACCTCACCTCCCTGATAAAGGTAAAGGCAAAAGAGAAAGGAGAAAAAAATAAAATCTCAAAAAAAAACGTAAGATTAATTATTTTAATTATTTTTTTAGGGCGATTTATTATGAAAATCTAAAAAAAATTAAATCCCAAAGATTCTATGATAAATTTTTTTAAACCACCAGATACTTAGTTACGGATGTGGTATTTTTTTTTTTTTTTAGATTTTGTCATTTATTTTACGAAAACTTTAAATCAAATCAGTGATGTTTTTTCCATAACCTATACCGCGTGTCACACCATTCGAATATCAATTTTTTTTCGAAAAGCATATTTGTCACCGAATATTTATAAGGGCATTTTTAACATAGAACCGGGTCTAGGTTAATATCCTATCACCGGAAGGTTTAGATCCTTATGATGGACCCCTTCTCTATGATCGGTCAACAGATTACTTCGATTCATTATATTTAAATACAATTTTGTAAAAAAAAAAAAAAATTAAAATTTTAAACTTTAATTTCTACGATTTGTAATTAAAAATTTTTTTAAACTTCTATTTTTTTAATTAGTTGTTTTTGAATTATGGATTTCATAGAAAGCAAGACGGTCTTCTTGTGTGGGTTTTCCTAATAATAAATAAACAAACAAAAATAAATATTTATATAAATTATAAATATATATTTACCATTTTGCGTTCCAATCTTTCTTAATAATGTACATAATTTTTCTGATAAAGATTTAGTAATAATTTTGTACAAAAAGGACACTGTATATTTTCTAAAAAAATATATCTCTCTCTACATTAATAATTGGTTTTCAATATTAAAATAAAATTCTAATTTAAAATTCTATTTTGATTAGATTCAGACAAAGGTACATTTTCCTTTTCAGAATTAAAAATGTCTGTTCTTTCACTTGTTTTGTTAGGTTCAACAATATTCAAATTTGAACCTAATATTTGTTTTTTAGGTTTCTTGCATTTTATAACGAACTCCTAATTCTCTTATTAGATACGCGCCCTTAATAATATAATAATAAAATATATTTTTATAAATAGAATTGAATATGATAACTATAATATAATAATAATTGCAAACCTTTTGGCCGTATTGTAGTTGGATTATTTATTTGATTTTGTGATTGCATTGTTTTTTTTTCTGAAATATGCATTGTAATTTCTTTTTGAAATGATTCATTAAATAGATTATAACTTATGCCATAACCGATTTGAAAGATATTGATAATCTTCGCTAATTTCATTAGATTCTACACTATTGGTATTTTTAACTGAGTTTGATACTGAATTATAAAATGCTTGATATGTCTTAATTAAAGTTTGATCACTAGGATCTTTTCTCCATCTTAAAAAAAAAATAAATGCTCAGTTAGTTCTTCTAAATTAAGTTGAGATGTGACTCTAAAAATGTGACGGCAGATAATACCAGAAAAAGTTATATAATAACTAGCCATTTATTTTTTTTTTTTTTGGGTATCCACCACATAAATAAGACTGGAATTGACAATGTTAATTAGTGTTACATTTTTTGTTATACATTTTTTTAATTTAGTTTAAAAAATTAAATTAAGGAGAGTGTTAAGATTTTTATTTTTATTAAGTTTAAGAAAGTACA